CTGAGGCAGGAGAATGGCGTGAACCCGGGAGGTGGAGCTTGCAGTGAGCCCAGATCGTGCCACTGCACTCCAGCCTGGGCAACAGAGCAAGACTCCATCTAAAAAACAAACAAACAAAAAATAATAGCCAGTGTGGTGGCACACACCTGTAATCCCAGCTACTCAGGGGGCAAGACGATCACTTGAACCTGGGAGGCAGAGGTTGCAGTGAGCAGAGATTGCACCACTGCACTCCAGCCTGGGTGACAGAGAGAGACTGCATCTCAAAAAAAAAAAAAAAAAAAAAAAAAAAAAAAAAAAATCAATTATATGACAATAAGATTCCTTTACTGCATGGCTCATAGAAAATGGCTCTGCAGGCGACTCAAAAATGAGGAAAGCTCATCATACTCCCCAGTGATGGCATTTCTGGGAGAGGCTCCAGGCCTCTGGTTGGCCGTCCATCTGGCATGGGTGCCTTCTCCCAGTTCCCTGCCTACTCATCCTGCCAGGCTCAGCTCAAGCACCGTTTCCTCCCACACTCCCTCCCAGACCCAAGTCAGGATTCTCCTCTCAGAGTACCCACAGCACTCTGCCCAGGCCTTTACTCCAGCACCAAACTTCCTTCCATTTCAACACCTTTAACCTCTTCTAGACTCAGAGCTTCCTGAAATCACTTCTTATTTCTGCAACAGCTCTCAATTTTGCTGTTTGCTATCAATCAGTTCCTGTTTTGTAGTTACACTGCGTAATTTCTCATTTTAATCATTTTTTTAATCAATAAGGCATATTTCAAACATTTGACACATATTGCACTGCAGTTTAAAAAAACAAAACTTTCCAGGCCAGGCATGGTGGCTCACGCCTGTAATCCCAGCTACTCAGGAGGCTGAGGCAGGAGAATCGCTTGAACCCGGGAGGCAGAGGTTGCGGTGAGCCGAGACCGCACCACTACACTCCAGCCTGGGTGACAGAGCGAGACTCCATCTCAAAAAAAAAAAAAGGAAAGAAAAACGAAAAGAAAGGAAAACAAAACTTTCCCTAGTAGGTTGCATTCAACAATAACCACAGGACAGTGGTAAGTGTAAAGTGTCCAGAAGACAGGACTGTTTTGTTCCACCACAAAATCCTTTTACAACTGACCAGCTTCCTCCCACCAACTGTATACAGTGATGAAATTATTTCTATCAACGAAACTTTTAAAAACAAAGAGATCAATTTTTAAATCAAAAGCTTTGTTTAAAAGTAAAGCCTTAGGAAGGAATGAGAAGCACAACCCTCAGGTGGCATCGGCACTCATGACCACGCGACTGCCACATCCAGAGGTGCAGGGGGTGCTCAGCATACAGCACCTGGCTGAGGTTGGCATGTTGGGGCTAAAACCAGTTCCTGGGCCCTGGCAGATGGCTGCCTCCACCAAGAGGAAGGGGTGGCTTTTCTTTTGCAAAAGGCAACAGTGTAGGCTGGCTGTGGCTCTGACAGGAAGAAATGGGGAAATCTTAAGTGTCAGTTGGCATGTGTCTCTAGTTCCAACTTTTAGACTTCTTTTGCCATCAGAAGAACCTCCTTCAGGTTGGAGTATCAAAGCCAAATAACCCCCTAGCCTCTTCATTCTCTCCCTGCTAGTAAAGCAGGGGAAAATCTAGTATATTTGGTTGTGTAAGCCTTTATTTTCTGGATATGGAATGAAAGTCTTCATTTTCTCAATAAGGAACTCCAGCTTGCCTTTGCATGTCACTGAGATGTGACATCCCAGAAATCACACAGGTAGTGATCTAACCCCAGAGATGGCCCCCTGCTCTCCGGGGATACTGACATCAAGTTCCTCTGCCTTGGCCGGGCGCGGTGGCTCAAGCCTGTAATCCCAGCACTTTGGGAGGCCAAGACGGGCGGATCACGAGGTCAGGAGATCAAGACCATCCTGGCTAACACGGTGAAACCCCGTCTCTACTAAAAAATACAAAAATCTAGCCGGGCGAGGTGGTGGGCGCCTGTAGTCCCAGCTACTCGGGAGGCTGAGGCAGGAGAATGGCCGGAACCCGGAAGGCGGAGCTTGCAGTGAGCTGAGATCCGGCCACTGCACTCCAGCCTGGGCGACAGAGCGAGACTCCGTCTCAAAAAAAAAAAAAAAAAGTTCCTCTGCCTTTTACTTCTCCCAAGATCAAAACTCAAGTCCTTACAATGGCCTATAAAACCCTTAGGTGACCTCGTCCCTTTTCTAGTGCCTCTTTGACCTCATATCCTTCCACTCAGCCCTTCTCAGTCCATTCTGGCCACCTGACCTCAAACATGCCATGCACCCTCCACCTTGCGGCTGTGCGCTGGCTGTCCCTCAGGCCAGCATGTCCTTTCTCCGGACAGGCTGGCTCACGTCTTCACTTCTTTGACCTTTGCTCATATGTGTCTTTCTCAGTGAAAGGCTCATATGGCCCCAGTGGGCCACCTATTTAAAACTGCAGGCCGGGCGCGGTGGCTCAAGCCTGTAATCCCAGCACTTTGGGAGGCCAAGACGGGCGGATCACGAGGTCAGGAGATCGAGACCATCGAGACCATCCTGACTAATGCGGTGAAACCCCGTCTCTACTAAAAAAACACAAAAAACTAGCCGGGCGTGGTGGCGGGCACCTGTAGTCCCAGCTGCTCGGGAGGCTGATGCAGGAGAATAGCGTAAACCCGGGAGGTGGAGCTTGCAGTGAGCTGAGATCCGGCCACTGCACTCCAGCCTGGGCAACAGAGTGAGACTCCGTCTTAAATAAATAAATAAATAAATAAATAAATAAATAAATAAATAAATAAAACTGCAACAGGCTAGGTGCAGAGGTTCACACCTGTAATCCCTGCACTTTGGGAGGCTGAGACAGAGGATCCCCTGAGCCCAAGAGTTCAAGACAAGCCTGGGCAACAAAATGAGACCCCATCTCTTTAAAAAAAATCAAAATAGGCCAGGCGTGGTGGCTCACACCTGTAATCCAGGCACTTTGGGAGGCCAAGGCGGGCGGATCACAAGGTCAAGGGATCAAGACCATCCTGGCTAACACGGTGAAACCCTGTCTCTACTAAAAATACAAAAAATTAGCTGGGTGTTGGGGCAGGCACCTGTAGTCCCAGCTACTCGGGAGGCTGGGGCAGGAGAATGGCATGAACCCAGGAAGCGGAGCTTGCAGTGAGCCGAGATCGAGCCACTGTACTCCAGCCTGGGCGACAGAGTGAGACTCCGTATCAAAAAAAAAAAAAAAATTCAAAATATTAGCCAAGTGTGGTGATGCACACCTGTAGTCCCAGCTACACAGAAGGCTGAGGTGGGAGGACTGCTTGAGCCCAGGAGGTTGAGGCTGCAGTAAGCCATATTCTTGCCACTGTACTCCAGCCTGGGTGACAGAGTGAGATCCTGTCTCAAAAATAAAGTAAAATAGTAACAACACCCCAACCCTGCTGTATTCTCTCTTAAATTTTTCAGTAACTCTTATCACCTTCTAATATTATATAATGTTGAGTATGTTTGGTATAATAACTTGATTGCTTACTATGCTTTTAGTTTGTTTCTCTCCTCCCCATTAGAATGTAAGCTCCACAAGAACAGGGGTTTTTAAAATCTGTTTTGTTCACTGATGTATTCCAAGAACCTAGACCAATGTCTGGTACCTAGCAGAAGCTCAGTAAACAACTGTAGAATGAATAAATGAACTTCCCTCTTTATATGGCTAGGCTGGCTCCTTACTGAGTTGTAACACAAAGAAGAGCTTTTTGCAATCTGACATCTCCTTGGTAACCAGCTTCTTCTTTTTGATGGAGTCTCACTCTGCCACCCAGGCTAGAATACAGTGGCACCATCTCGGCTCACTGTAACTTCTGCCTCCTAGGTTCAAGCAATTCTACTGCCTCAGCCTCCCGAGTAGCTGGAATTACAGGCACCTGCCACCACAACTGGCTTTCTGTATTTTTAATAGAGATGGGGTTTCATCATGTTGGCCAGGCTGGTCTTGAACTCCTGACTTCAAGTGATCCAACTGCCTTGGCCTCCCAAAGTGCGGGGATTACAGGAGTGAGCCACCGTGCAAAAGAGGTATCATGTCCCTCCAGTGACTATGCTTTTCGTTAGCTCTGCTGCTGGCTGGAAGACTCACTCGAGAGACTCTCCTTGAAGGCTTGCTGAAGTAGGCAGGCATGTTGGGAAGCCCACGTAGCAAGGAACTGCAAACAGCCTTTAGATGCTGAGGGCAGCCTCCAGCCAACAACCAGCAAGAATCTGGGGCCCCCAGTCCTACTACAACTGAAACTAGTTACTTCTTACTGGTATCGCTGTATCCACATCTTAACAGCCCCTTCCTTCATCCTAGGCTACTGCTTGGGATCTGCTGTGACCTGGGGGAACCAGATAACATTTGTTAAGAACCATGTGTTAAAGTAAGCAGGCTCCATGTAAGAGCCCTGTGGCCTCTCTTCTGCAGCGAAGTGTATGCCTCTAGCTGTGGGACTTTGTTGGGGCAAGTTCTGTGCTAAGAGACTCTTCCCCTCTGACTCTGGGCCCCTAGAGTCCTCTGTGCCAAAGGCTAAGCTGTCTTACCACTTCTTATTTCTGCAACAGCTCTGAATTTTGCTGTTTGCTATCAATTGTATCAGAATACAATGCAACATTTCCCTAGTAAGACAGTAAAACAAATAAGAAAATTTTAGGTACATAAGTACAGAACAAGCACAATTCAGCTTCTGAATGATGCTTGAAGACTCTAAGAACTACTGTTAACAAGCAGACAAGGCGCTGTAAGTCATGGGCCACCTCGTGAGGCAGCAGCCACTCTGCCAATGCTTTGCTGACAGCCTGGGATGAACTGTGCTGACCACACAGTTGTCCAACAAGACTCATCGTATGATGGTGCTGCAAAAATATTATTTTATACCTGTTTCCTAAAAACCAATCACACTGACAAACACTCCATATAACTGTCCTCACAAATACCAAACTTGGCTAAATCTCAGAGTAAAAGTTCATCTCTCATTCAGAATGAAGAAACTGAAGATACCTGATTCACCTTGTGAACTGAGCTGCCCAAGGTCCATCTCGGCATGAGGAGTAAACCGCACTTCTAAAGTGGCCACAGGGGCCTCTGTCACCCAGGCAGGAACCACGCTGCGGGGAGCTCCATCAGCCCTTCCAGCAGGTAAGTGAGGGGCCATGGGCTGTGTCTCTGCCCTGCTTCCTTGCAGGACTGCTGCTCCTTCCACTCTCTCTAGCTTCTTGTCTGTACCTTTCTCCGAAATGCTCTTCTCCGGGCCATATGGGCCAATTTGTTCTTCTGACATACTGGAACTCTGATCACGACTTGATTCCAAACCAAAATCCACTGCTATCTCCCTGTGCATAGGGAATGCTTGCTGAATTCTGGCTGTGTCACTGTGTGTCAGGTAGTTTTCTTCTGAAGTTCTGTCTTCAGGACATTTAGGTTTCTCCTTAGTGCTATGGTGAGGTTGTGGTTCATCACACACTGACAGCTGTCGCTGGTCACAGCTGTCAGTCTTGCTGTCAGACTGGGATGCAGTGTTTGGTGTATGTTGGTTATTCTGTAAATTAAAGTCTGCTAAAGGCTCCATCACATTTTGCGGCGAGTCATACTCAGCTATGTAGGGCTTGATGTCTAGTACGGGTGTGCCATGTATCATGTCAATTCCAGAAAGGTATATAGCTCCGCCTATGACATAAAAACGTGAAAAATGAAGAACACTGCGAACACTTGGAGAATACAATCACATCCCAGAATCCTCTAACACTGTCTGCTTATGCCTCACTGCACTTACTCATCATTCTCTCACATAGACCTGGTACCAGCACACATCCTTCTTGCTATCTGGTAGCCTATCCTCTTCTCTACCTATCAAACTCCTACTCGATCTTTGAGGCCCTCAAAGCACACCTTTTACAAAGCCTTTCTGGCTCCTCCAGACAAAAGTATTCTTTCCTACAGTCCCCATAGAGAAGCCTGTGCACAAACCTCTGCCAGAGCCCTTTCCCCATGGTAGGGCAGTGACCAGCTTAGAGTCTTTATCCCTAGACAGCAGGCAGGCCCCTTAACACAGGCTGGGGCCAACTCATCTCTGTATCACTGGTGCTTCTGTTCCAGGGATATAGTAGTCCTCAATATATCTCTGTGGGACCAATGAAGGTTCCTACTGTGGCAAACAGATCCAAAGGTGGCCCTGTGACCCGCACCTCCTCAAGTTCATGACCTTATATAATCCTCCCCCTTCAGTTGTGACTGGCTTCTAACCAACAGAACATGGCAAAAGAGGTATGATGTCCCTCCAGTGACTATGCTTTTTGTTAGCACTGCTGCTGGCTGGAAGACTCACTCGAGAGACTCTCTTTGAAGGCTTGCTGAAGTAGGCAGGCATGCTGGGAAGCCCACGGAGCAAGGAACTGCAAACAGCCTTCAGACGCTGAGGACAGCCTCCAGTCAACAACCAGCAAGAATCTGGGGCCCCCAGTCCTACTACAATGGCAAGGAAATCAATGTGGCCAACAGTCTAAGTGACTTGAAGCAGATTATTCCACAGTCAAGCCTCCAGATAGGAACTCATCTCAGCTGACAACTTAATTGCAGTCTAGTGAGACCCTAAGCAGATGACCTAGTTAAGCTGTGCCCATCCTTCCGACCCACAGATACATAATAATGTTTCAAACACATAATAAATGTGTGTTGTTTAAACTGATGATTCTGTGGTAATTTGTTACACAACAATAGAAATCTAATACATCCATGAAGACTCAAAAGATTAAGCAGCACATAAGTCAGCATTACCAAATACTAAAGACAAGTCTCCAGCTGTCCCACTGGACATATGCTGTCCAGTTCCTGCTACACATAGTCATCTACTAACCTTACTCTTGGAAAATAGGTCAGATGAGAACAGAAAAACGGCATGCAGTCATATTTGACTCCGTCTCCATTTAAGAAAAATGTAACTAATACAGGACCCTGATTTCTGACACATGCTTATTATGAATAAGCCTTGAACTCTGGAAGGATGATTCCAGACTTGCTAGATGATGAATTACGCCTAATATCTGTAGGAAAAAGAAAGGCACTGTAGCATAAGTTAAAACTTCAAAAGATTTAGTCAGATGACCACCTAGCTGGATGCTATTAGACAGATTATGTAACATTAAAGAGCCCTAGTTTCCTCACCTATGAGATGAGGATTGCTACTGTGTTAAACCCACAAAGCCACTGTGAGATAAGGTACGTGAACACTGTTTACTAACTGTAAAGCACTGCACAAACACTAGTAGTCATACAGCTTATATAGTAATGTCTACAGTGCTACTGTGTTTGCCTTTTAACCTTTCTGACTTGACCTCCCCAATTGAAACATTAAGTTCTTTAGGGCAGGGATTTCTATTTTTATCTGATTTGTTTACCACTATAGCTCCAGCACCTAGGACAATGCCTGGCACATAATCAGTGCTAGAAAATATGTGTGGGTTGCATAAATAATCATAAAATCTTCTAGTACTTGCTACCCACGTTGGTTAGCTATTATAAATGATAAAAATCAAGGTGGATCAGCTACTGAATTTTTCTGGGGAAACTACCTAAGGCCCAGTTGAGTACAATCCAGTAAGAGTTCAAGTTCTGGGAGAGAACAAACAAAATAACTGCTCTCATCTATTTAGTGTCCAATAGCCTGAAAAATTAGTTTCAGAACTTTTGTCTTACAAGATTCTCAAAATATTCTGTTGAATCACAGAGGAAGTAGGTCCTTCTCCTTTTCCCACTTCACAACCAGCAGGCTGAAGCCTGGAATGGTCTCTTAACTCCAAGTTTACCTGCCATTTCATCTGCTGCCTGTTAGGTCAGAATGGACTGCTTTCCATAAATGTGTAACTAGATTATATATGAACACACAGTTAAAACTAGTTAGTTTAGAACTTCTACAATCTGACCAATGTTTGTCCTTATAGTGTGATTCATCCCAGACTCCTGCCACATAGCACAGTTGACATCAGCACAGCAGCCATGACGTCTGCCCATTTCCCCAAGACTGCAAGGAAGGAACGATATACCACCAGTCTATGTGTCTTCCATATGTGCATGTACAATGAGTTATTGTGTGTTAAATTGGAAAGTGTCCATTTAATCATTTTGTATTCACTGCATTCCAAGTCAGAGAAACTGTGGTTACTAATTTAATGATTATGAAATTTTTGTTATTTCTAAATAATTTAATAGTTTTGGATATATGCAATAACATAAACAAACTCTGAGCATCCTATGAGAGTTTATTTCAACATTTTTCAATGCGAACATTCTTTTAATCATTGTATTTTCTTCAATGTCTGGTGGTTCTCAGGAAGTTAACATCATTGGTACTCATCTGAATAAACAGCCAGTGGTGAATGCTGTGTTTATTTTATAAGGCTTTTCTGCATAAAGAAAAAGGTAAAAGTAGAAATGAAATGGGTTACCTTCTACCTTTTCCAGCTTGGCCAGGGTCAGTCCTATTGCATTGGGACGATGAGGGCTCCTTGTGGAAAAAACTCCAGTCTTTGCACCATTCAGCCTAGGAGGCTGCACCTTTGCCTTACAGCTCAAATGACCATTTTTATGAAAAACAAACAAAATCCTATAAAAAAACAAAACAAAACAAACCACGGAATAAGAAAAGAGCACAAGTTATTTTACCACAATGATCTGATGGGGGAAAAAATGCAATCTTTCACAAATTAACAGAAATCATGTTTTAAATAGTATTAACTTGTAATCTAGCAGGAAGAAAATAGCACCATCCCCCTTCCTTCTCTCCACATCCTTTGCAGCTAACACAACAACTGGCACACAGTAGGAACTTAAGAGATGTTTGTCAAGTGCCCAATGAACAATATTTACTGTCTGCTGTTTGTCAGGTAGTACAGTAAAATAATTTTACACTCACTTCATGCAATCTTCTTAACTATCTTCAATAATATAATTTATCCCCCATTTTTGGGATGAGGAAATTGAAGTTCAGAAATGTTAAATAATTTTACCAGACCTTCCTTTTTTTTTCATTTGGCATGACCAGACCTTCCTAAGTAAAATACGAAACCAAGAAGCCATGAAGAAAAACTAACAGATTTGAACTCATGAAACCACAACATTTATGTACTACAAAATGTCAGCCTAAGAGAAAATGTTTGCTACATACATAATGGACCATAGGTTAATATCTGTGGCACATAAATTGTTCCTACAGATTACTAAGGACAACCCAATATAGGACACTATGCAAAGAACATGAATAAGTAATTCACAAAAAAATGACAAGAAGCTAAGAACCATATGAAAAGATGTTGAGCTTCACTAATAATTAGATATTTCTAAATTTAGAAATTAAGCTAAAAAACCAAAATAATCTTTTTCCCCATCAGGCAAAAATGTGAAAAACTGATAACATATTGTGTTGGGAAGGGTGTAAGAAAAAGGCCATTTGCATATATTATTGAAGTATACATTGGTTAATTTCAGAGGATAATTTGGAAGTAGTTCTCTAAAATTCTAAATATGCTTACCTTCTAGTCCAATATATCCACTTCTGACATCCTGTCCATAAAAATACACAAGTGGCCAAGAATGTTTCTAAGGGAGTTTGTCACAGTATTATAATAACAACATAGCCCTCCATTAACAAGAGTGTACATGGTACATCTATATTTTGTAATAATAGACAGCTATTAAAGCAAAAAAAAAAAAAAAGGTAAATCTACTGTCATGAAAGTTCTCCATGGTATATACTGTTATGTGAAGAAAACATACTTTTTTTAAAAAAAACAAATACCCACTCTGTATGTATAAATTTTTTTCTATGTGTATTTGAGAAAGAAAACATTAAAAGGTCTGGCAGAATCTACACCATGCTGTCAACAGTAATAATCTCTGATGAGGGGATGGGGTTGGGGAGAGAGGAGGAAAATAGGAGGGATAAGGAAAAATCTCTTTATATACTTCTGAACCCATATTTTACATCATCAATAACTTAAATAATTCAATCAGGGTCATAATACAAACTAGGTCAGAACACACATCTAATCTTGTCCCCAAATTAACACGAAAAATAAACTATTTCAGAATAAACACTTAATTTTTAGGTCTCTACCAATAAAAACAGACCGATTTAAACTGCTGATGTTGGGGTGAAGAAGAATGAACACAGACAGAATTTGAAAAGACCACAAACAATGCTAGTATAACACAGGCCCTAATATAGGTAACACTTAAAGTATCCAGATTTCTACAGCGTCTTATCTTTTAGGAGTATATTTAATTCTACATGAGTCTAGAGCAGGATCTGTAAACTTTTTCTGTAAAAGGTCAGGGAGTAATATTTTAGGATATGTAGGCCAACCAGTCACTATAGAGACTATTCAACTCTGCTGCTATGGCACAAAAGCAGCCACAAACAATACACAAACAAATGGACATGACTGTGTTTCCATAAAAATAATTTACAAAAAATGGGCCATAGTTTACTGACCCCTGGTCTAGAGGGCAGAATAATGACCCAGGGGCAGAGTCAAGGAGGTCTGTAATTTCCACTCGACAGAAGGCATTCATCACAATTAGAACCAACTGCAAATGGAACATGCCACCTCAGTGGATCCCAAGCGTCCCTGAGGATGTCTAAATGACACAGACAATCATATGCACAAATACAGTACAAAATTCCATACAACAGGCTGGTCCAAAGGTAGTGAGTTATCTCAATCGATTGTTCACAGTCAGTTACAGATTGAACTTTTTGTTCTACTTTTCCCCCCTTCTCACTACTGCACTTGTCTTAAAAAATAAAAAATAAAAATAAAATCCACGCAAAAGATGAGAGTTCCAGCCTGGGCAAGATGGTGAAACCCCGTCTCTACCAAAAATACAAAAAAGAATTAGCCAGGCATGGTGGTGTACACCTGTGGCCCCAGCTACTCAGGAGGCTGAGGTCTCCTTGAGCCTGGGAGGCAGAGGTTGCAATGTGCTGCTATCTCACCACTGTACTCCAATCTGGGTGACAGAGACCCCATCTCAAAAACAAAACAAAATAGAAAGATGACGGTGGTCTGGATGGCAGACTCCAAGGTTGCCTTCAATTGGAGTACTTTATTTGGAGGCAAGTTCTGGCCCAAAATCCTACATCTAACTATAAAATAACTTACCAAACATGAGAAAACTGTTCTAGGCCCATCAGGGAATGTTCAGGATTATTAAAGATGTTCTTTCTAATCCTCAAACGGGCTCGAGAATAGCTACAAATGGATGGCTGTCTTGGAGTACCATTCTTGGCCGAGAAACAGGATTCCAAGTAGCCGATTGGCTCAGTTAAAAGATTCCCTACAGGAGAAAATTAGTTAAGAAATTATTAGTCAAAAGGTCAAACCAAGTTGTAAGAAAACATGTTTTCTCTAATGCATTGGTTTCATAGTTTTAAAATATTAGTGTTGTACAACTATAAAAATGATTTTTCTAATGTTCATGAATACGTATATTCTCATCATTACACACACACATCATTACATACATAGTAATATCCCTTTAGATATACTAGAAAGAATAATGGTCCAAGAAAGAATGAAACGAAGGGGGCATTTTCAGAATACCTACTATGACCATAATTAAAATTCTATGCTACCAGTACTAAGTCATGTGACTTTGGCCAGGGCTATGAGGGCTATTTTATTTATTTATTTATTTATTTATTTAACTTTTTTACTTTTTTTTTTTTTTTGAGATGGAGTGTCACTCTGTTGCCCAGGCTGGAGTGCAGTGATGCGATCTCGGCTCCCTGCAACTTCTGCTTCCCGGATTCAAGCATTTGTCCCGCCACAGCCTCCTCAGTAGCTGGGATTACAGGCACCCGCCACCACACCCAGGTTTTTTTTTTTTTTTTTTGTATTTTTAGTAGAGACAGAGTTTCACCACGTTGGTCAGGCTGGTCTTGAACTCCTGACCTCATGGTCCGCCCACCTGGACCTCCCAAAGTGCCGGGATTACAGGCATGAGCCACCATGCTTGGCCTATGAGGGTATTTCTAATAGAGGAGACAGCATACACAAAAGTGAGAAATGTCATAGCATATCCAGGAAACAAGCTATTTTGATTGGCTGGAGTATGAAATAAGAGGCAGAGAATAATGAAAGATGAGGAAACACTGGGTATATATAAGTAAGGATGTCTTCAATTAAAAGCAACAGAATATATGAAATAAACTAATTTAAGCAATAAAGACAACATATAAGCTCATAGTGCTAAAATATCTAGAGGCAAGGTAGATTTCAAGTGAGGCTTGGTCCAGTAGCCTGCTGCCCCTCTAGAATGTAAGCTCCATGTGGGCAGGAGTTTTTCTGTCTTGTTTATTGCTGCATTCTCACTGTCTAGTACATTGCCTGCAAGGGAGTAGGTACTCAAAATATTCATGTTGCATGGAAGAAAAGATTATTTATGTCTAAGCTGATTAACGTGGAAATTGAAAAAGTAAAAGAATAATATGTATATAATCCCACTTATGGAAATTTGTTATATATTTATTTACCTTCTTAAGCATACACAGGTATGTTTGGAAAGCTATCTGGAAGGATATGCACCAAATGTGTGTTTTTTGTTTGTTTGTTTTTTTGAGACAGAGTCTCGCTCTGTTGCCTAGACTGGAGAGCAGTGGCATGATCTCGGCTCCCTGCAATCTCCACCTCCCAGGCTCAAGTGACTCTCGTGCCTCAGTCTCCCAAGCACGCACCACCATGCCCATCTAATTGTTTTTTTTTTTTTTTGTAGAGAAGGGGTTTTACCACGTAGGCCAAGCTGGTCTCAAACTCCTTACCTCCAGCAATCTGCCCATCTCGGCCTCTCAAACTGCTGGTATTAAAGGGGTGAGCCACCACACCTGGCCAATATTCACCAATTTTTTTTCAACAGTGGTTTATCTGGGTGGTAAGATTTTTAAACTACCTTTAAATTTAACTTTGTAATTTCTACAATATTTGAAATTTTTTCAATAATCACAAATTAGGCCAGGCACGGTAGCTCACGTCTGTAATCCCAACACTTTGGGAAGCTGAAGTGGGCAGATCACCTGAGGTCAGAAGTTTGAGACCAGCCTGGCCAACATGGTAAAAACCCATCCCTACTAAAAGTAAAAAAAATAAAAATAATAATAATAATAATAATTAGCCAGGCATGGTGGTGCATGCCTGGAGTCCCAGCTACTCGGGAAACTGAGTCAGGAGAATCACTTGACCCTGGGAGGCGGAGGTTGCAGTGAGCCAAGATCACGCCACTGCACTCCAGCCTAGGTGAGTGAGACTCCATCTCAAAAAAAAAAAAAAAAAAAAAAAATCATTTTTTTTAACAACATATTTCAAAAGAAAAAAAATGGCCAGACACTATCAATATAAATTTAAAGTCTAAGGTTTCCATGGCTACCACTTTGAATTTATCGATAACTTTTTTATTTTCACATTTCATGAGAGCATTATCAATTTCTCAAAGTTGACATAAAGACACTTCAGACTTTCATTTTATTTCCTGCTTCCTTAAATCTACCCTACCAGCATAAGCCGTAAGACTCTAGGTCCGGGGCTGTCCCTCACAGTAGCTTTCATTACTCTTCACTTCTAGAAGCTGTATTATTTGATACATATATTATATGCAACATACATGTAAGTTATACGGCATAATATAATGAAACCCCACGTACATACCACCCACCCCAAAAACTAGAGCATTACCAACGACTTGTGCCTTTTTATGTTGTTTTCCTCTTATCTCACACCCTTCTTTTCCCTCTGAGATAAACAGAAGCCTGAATTTGGTCTTCATCGCTCACTTCCTTTTAAAGTATGATTTTGTTACATGTACATGCATGCCTAAACAGCATTTCATTGATTTTTGTCTTTAAGATCTATAAAAACTGGCACCAAACTGTAAGGTGTCTTCTCAGACTTGCTTTTTCTCTCTCAATATTATGAGGCTAAGATCCATCCATACTCTGTATGTTTTTGACAACTTTAATTTTTGTCCAAGTATGTTTATAGGCATTGTTTTTTGTTTTTTTTGTTATTTTTCTTTTTGATCTTCATCCATGCTTCTATGGAACAGATATAGCAGACATCTTAAAAATGAAGAAACTGAGGCCAAACGACCTGGTGTATCTTCTTTATGTCTGGAAGATAAATGGCCAAAAAAGACTCCTAACCCAGCCACAAAATCCCTGTGTCTCGTTTTCATTTGTTCAAGAAACATTTTCTGGCTGATACTCTAGGCACACTGCCTATGAGTTAGCCCTGCTCCACTGAGAGAGAGAGAGAGAGAGAGAGAGAGAGAGAGAGAGAGAGAGAGAGAGACACAGAAGAGAGAGACAGAGAGACAGAGAGAGAAGAGCGAGAGAGAGAGAAAGAAAAGAGAAGAAAAGAAAGAGAAAGAAAGGAAAGGGAGAGAGAGAAAGGAGAAAAGAAAAAGAAAGAAAGAAAAGAAAAAGAAAAAGAAAAGAGAGAAAAGAAAAGAAAAAAGAAAAGAAAGAAGAAGAGAAAGATGAGAAAGGAAAGAGAGAAACACTATTTTCCGAGTGTCTATAATTGCCAGACATTGTGTTAAGTTTGGAGAAAAGATACAAGCCAAGAACTCTTACTACAGTGGAATTAATGGTTGGGGAGACCCTCACATCATACTTCAATATCATGGGAAATGTCCAGTCAGCAGTAACGTAATCAAAGTCATCCACCCTTGACTCTCTGATTTGGGGCCTAGGAATTTATATTATAGCTGATTCATCACTTCACTGAATCAGTCTATGCCTGTTTTTCAGATTACACATATGATATGATAAATATAAGTGGCTGCCAATTAGATTTATTTCTATCCTCTTTGTGCATCTCCTTAGGAACATAAGTAAGACAACACTAGATTAGCAACGAACTGAAAGTATACTCAAGAGGTACTTTGTAAGAGTTCTTCTAACTCTGCTACTCTGTTTGGGACCACTCTCAAAATATCAAATATCCATATTCTAATACGTCTGAACTCTTCTGGGACATATTTATATATTCTCTGTATATAAATATTTATATTTATATATTCTTATCCCCAGGAGGCTGGGGATAAGGCTATGAAATACAAATGCTATTTGAAGCAGAGACCTGACACCGTTTGTCCAGTGGAATTCTGGTCTTTTTGCCTATCTCAAAACAAAAACCCAAAAGAACAGTAAACACCTACCATTTGGTAAGCACTGTGCTAAGGACTTGGGGTACAAATAAGAACCAGTTCTCATCCTCAAGGGTTTCCAGTACATTGACAGAGAAGGACAAGTAAATTAACAATTCTAGCTAGGCGCCTTTGCAGGGATAGAGATAAATGAGCACAGGTACACCAAAAAACAGCACAAGAACCTCATGGAAATGGGGAGAAGAGGTTCCTCAAAAGAGCACGAGAATTAGGACGGGTTTCAGAATAGAGAAAGGATAAAAACAACACAGGGCCACTACACTAGTTCTGTGACCATGGGAAAAACTAGCTTCTCTCTCTGAATCCGTTTTCTCATCTATAAAACAAGGATAATACCTACTTTGGAAAGCTGTAAGAGTACTAATAAAATATGGAAAGCATCCAGTAAAATAGAAGGTGCCCAGCAAGGAGTGCTTTTTAAAGTCCCTGCTTAGGCTTTTTCCTCATTTAAACATTACAACTATATTAACTGCGTAATAAGTAAAAAGCCAGCAAGTAATCAACCCGGGGATTTTTTGTATATATGATTGTCTACATATCTTGCTCTGAAAATAAGTTCAGGTCCTTTTCCTTTCTGCCTGGACTATGAAATTACCCTTCTTAGGCTTTCCGTTCCGACTGCAAGTTCTTCCCCTTCTCAAAATACTCCAGACCAATCCTCAACAATCCTAGAGTTTCTTGTGTTATGCTAACTCTTTAGCTTTAAACTTTTCACGGTCTCTGCTGCTAACAGACTTTGTATTTCTTAGCCTGGCACTCAAGGTTCTTCACAATCAGAACCCAAAGGTTCTCACCTCCCTGTTCCATCTAACACTTTAGACTTCTAGCTCCCCAAACCTATACTGTGTAGACTTCTGAGCCCTGGCTTCTGCGTTTTCCTTCCTGTCAAAATATTAGACCTGTAATCTGGCAGTGTTCAACGATTTTTTTTTAAATAAGCACATTTGACCAGGTAATAGCACTTCCAACAAATTTAACAAAGTTCAAACTTTGGAATGTACACAAACATTTCGGCTTCAAGAGCTTTCTTTTAGAACAATGCAAACTGACAATAACCTAAATGCTCAGTAACAGGAAGCTGGTTATATGAATTAGAGTACATCTCTAAAACAAAGCGTTAGGCTGGTTGCAGTGGCTCATGCCTGTAATCCCGAAACTTTGGGAGGCTGAGGCAGGTGGACTGCTTTTAAGCCCAGGAGTTCGAGACCAGCCTGGGCAACATGGTGAGAGCTTGCCTCTACAAAAATTAATAACAAAACAAAGTGTTAAAATTAATTGCCCTGTTAAGTTTTTTTAAAATTCTTTTAAAGTTACTAAACAGTAAGGTCGTATAGTATCTCACTTTTCAAGTGTGTATGCAAAGAAGTATGGAAGGCAGACACCAAGATATTGTCAATGGCTTTCTCTGGCAGGCTATTTTAATTCTCTTCCATTCGCTTTCTAGTTTCTAAAGCTAAAATACTCCTCTATGAAAACGTGTGAGTAAACAGAAACAAATTCATGCCTTTCTAGGCCCAATTTAAAACTATTTTCTACAACCGAAATTTTCCCCTTCTCTCTCCTCGTTCCTACAGCGCAGAATGCCTCTCTCCTATGGCATTTACTAATTCCTAACCCGCCTAACACCACCCCCCATTCATTATGGCAATGAAACCCCTAAGAGAAAAGCCACTACGCTACACTTAGCTGCTCCAGCTACTCAGCCAAGACTAGGCGGACATGGCAAGTCTTGTAACAAAGCGGAACAACCCCGATGACGTCATCCCGCTCGCCGAAGCACATCACGTGGTCGCCGCAGCACATGACCCGTGCCTTCGCCGTAGGTAGGAGAATGACGCACGTCAGTTCCAGATCTTGCGTTTCACACCCCGCTCGGCAACGAAGACCTCTCCAGAGTGTGGCACTGCCAGTCTCTTGGAAGTTACCTGTCTCCAGAGCCGGCTTCACGCAGCCGCACGGGGTCGCTGTAGGCCGAGGACCCGGCTCCTCCAAGCCGCGCATGGCTACTGGTTGCTGAGGTGCCTACCCGACGCATCCAACCTTCCACTTCCGCGCTCCATGCCTGACGCATGCGCAGTAGCCTCGCCGGCGGGGTCCCGCGAGCCCAGGAGAGTGCGCGCGCGCGCAGTGTGGCGCTGAGGGACGTTAGGCAGTCTCCATGGGGCGTCGAACCCCTATCCGGGGCGTGTTCCCCTGCGGGACCCCAATCACGTTTATCTTACACAGAGCTGCTACAGTTGCCCGCCCTCCCAGGGCAGGCTGCGACTCTGGGTTCCCGCGCTAAGAGGCAACACACCTGGATGAAGAACTCGCAACTATGTCTCTCTCGAAACATTATTAAGCAACCTACACGTCCAGTATAACCTTAATTTTTAAAGGATGTGTAAATGTAATTACCACAGAGCGGAAGGACTGGACGTTAAAAAATGTTAAGAATTCTCCAGCGCTTGTGGTCCCAGCTACCCCGCAGATTGAGGCAAGAGGATCGCTTGAGCCCAGGAGTTTGAGGCTGCACTCCAGCGTGGGTGACAGAGCGAGACCCCGTATCTAAAAAAAAAGAAAAAAGAAAAAAATTATCTTTGGGTGGTGGGAAAACAGATGTGATTATCCTTTTTATGCCTCAATTTTTCCATAATTTATGCTTTGTCAGAAACAACCGCAAATAAGTCTTGAAATTTCAAGTGTGGTGGATATTATAAAGGAGCCCTACTATGTGCTAGGGGTTAAGGAGTGGGAACTGTTTCTTGTGCTCCACACCTTACCAGAACTGAAGTGAGAATGGAGTTGTAAGAGTCAACATGCCATGTACGTTGTGGGGATTATTGTCGTTTCTGGACAGCTCTGAGACGCTAAGAGCTAATATGAATAATTTTTTAATCCAATGCAATGACCAGTTGTCCTTGCAATGATAGCCTATCTTTTACCCACTTGTAATGCTGTCTCTCACCTATAGCTAGTTTCTATGTACATAATTCTCTTTATGGGAGAAATTTTTTAATCTTTTTTTATCTGTTAACATCTGCAGTATAAAATATTCAAAAGCATATGAATCCACAGATTGAAAAGCCTAACAGCTATGAAAACATGTTTCCATGTCTGTCCATTTGTCATTGATTTCTAGTAGAAAATAACCAGCAGTAGGAGCCAAATAATTAAAGATTGTGGTTTAAAAAATGAAATAAAACTGATCAAATGCATATAGTGTCTTTTGGCAGGTCATTTTTACATGACAACTTGAAAAAGGCTACCATTATTTTTTTTTTAGGAGGAACAGTTCTGTGCAGCTGGAGAAAAACAAGTTTGAAAACCAGTGTGTATGTATATGTGTAAAATTGGGCCGGAATTACTGCACTTGCCACTAGATGGTGATGTTGCTGAAAATGATAGTCCCGCTTAATTTGTGGAAAGAGTAGACTTGAAGAGAGACACTTGCCTGCCTGGAGGGCATGGTAGATGTTGATAATCTCACAAAAAAATATGTAATTATCAAGTGTGACAAGTACTGAAATGCAAAGCTGATTTGAATATACTAGTGAAATAGATTGATACCTCTTTTAAAGGTAAAATGTCTCTTGACTGAAAACAGGAACTTAAATATGCAGCACATTTATTAGTCTATGATTTGAAGTTCTTATTATCTTGTCTGGAATTATATGTGATTATTTGCAGTTTATAAGACTTAACCTCTCCTCCAGAGGTAAGACGTAGAAATCTGCCTTAAAGAAATGACCTAAATAATTATGTGGTCTTCAGCTTGTACTACTTTGAGAAGCACTTCTCAGTAGAGTGATTCTTAACCTCTCATTTGGTTGAAGGACCCCTTTGAGAATCAATTAAAGCTTTGAACCATCTCACACATCATTTTGGATATAATATCATAGGGTTCATGGATTTCTAAGAACCTGAGAGGAAGGCAGCACAAAGTCAAGCTAGGATTCTTGCAAAACTTTAATTCTATCACCTCAAGGTTCTAAGCCAAGAACGCCAGAAGAATTTTAGATGCACACTGATGTTTGAACAAGAATGGTGAGAAAGCAGAAGTTGTGTGTGAATACAGGAGTGATTTAAGAGGGCGAGCAGAAAGGGTCCTGAGAGGTGGAGAGAGAAATTCTGCTTCCTCTAATGTACTGAATTCCTCTTTCCCTCTACTCCTCCATCTCATTTTTGTGCTCCTGTACACTGTACATATGCAAATCTCTTAAGGTCCATCTTAATGCAACACTCTTAGAACTTGAGACTTCAGTTTACTTTTTTTTCCCCCTCTAATTTTGGCCCACTCTGGCAGGTGAAATTGAGACAGAAGCACATTCCAAAGAAGAAACAAAAAGCACTGAGGAAGTCAGATGTGACTTTGGGTCAGTACCTTCCATCTATGAAGTTATTCCCTCATCTTTAAGTGGGGGTGATAATCACCACCTGGCCTATTTCACATGCGTTTGTACAGATCAGGTAAAACAGTTTATGTGAAAGTATAAATCTTGAAGTGTCATTGAGAGGTAAGAAACTATTACATGGTTGTGGCCAGACGCAGTGGCTCACGCCTATAATCCCAGCACTTTGGGAGGCCGAGGAGGGCAGATCACGAGGTCAGGAGATGGAGACCATACTGGCTAACACGGTGAAACCCCGTCTACTAAAAATACAAAAACAAAATAGCCGAGCGTGGTGGCGGGCGCCTGTCGTCCCAGCTAGTTGGGAGGCTGAGGCAGGAGAATGGCGTGAACCCAGGAGGCGGAGCTTGCAGTGAGCTGAGATGGCGCCACTGCACTCCAACCTGGGCGAGAGAGCCAGACTCCATCTCAAAAAAAAAAAAAAAAAAAAAAAAAAACCACAAAACACAAAACTACTATGTGGTTGTGCTGCCCTCAGTATGTTGTGTAATAAATATAATGGGGGTATGAATCATTGTACAATGAATACATACTGATGGTAAAACATTTAATGTACACACAAAAGGGAGTAGGCAGATAGAAGGGAAACAATATTGTAACATCCCACTGTACCAGTGGTTCTCAACCCTAGCTCCACTTTAGAATTGTTGGGAGAGCTTTTGAAATAAAAAGCTCTGGATTGGACCCTGAAGCCAACAAAGGACATTAGTGGAAAAACTCATGAAAACGGAATGTCTGTAGTTAATGGTGGTGTAACTACCCTGATTTCTTAGTTTTGACAAATGGCCCATGGTTATGTAAGACGTTAACATTGGTGTAAACTGGGAAAAAGGTATATAGTAACTTTTGTACTATCATGACAACTTTTCTGTAATTCTAAAATTATTCCTCCAAAAACTATTATTTGAAGCATAAAACAATTAAAAAATAAATATACCTATGCCTGTATGTCACCTAGATGGGGGAATCTGAATCCCTGGGGGGTAAGTCTGGACATATATGTATTTTCAAAACCTTCCCAGGCGAGTCTAATGTACCAGGAGGGTTGAGAGAACCAGTGCTCTCTCATGTTCATTATACCATGAATGCCTGAGGGACTGGGACCCTGTCTTGTTCTTTGATGTAGCTAGTACCTAGCACAGTGCCTATATGGAAAGCTTGTGCAAGTGTGTTCTTGCTGAATGAACCTTTATTTGCAAAAATTTCCTTAGTCCTCTGTAATAACAGAAGGAAAACCGAAAACAAAATATACCAGGGTAGATTTTCAGACATCTTCCCATCCAGAAGAGTTTCTATTCCTGCCCCGGTCTCTTGTCGTTTTCAGTTAATCTTTGCCATTATCACCATATTTATCATATATCCTAAAATACTGAAATTGCCATTCCGTTGTTCAAAAATCTTACTTCATTCCCTATTATTTAACAAGTGATATATTTCTTGGTTAGGTATGCAAAATTCTCTGTGCTCTACTAATATGGGCTTTTTAGCATGCAAAGCCTACTACTATTTCATATGGACTCTATATTAACCATAGTTTGCCTGCAGTTCTCTTGAACATGTTTTGAACTCACCCTTCTCTTTGTCACATACAGTAATGCTGCTATCCTCGTCTATGCAAATCGTTTCCATCTTTCAAGGCTTCATGCCTGTGTAATTTTTTTTAGGTCACTCCAGCAAAAAGTGAGCATTCTCTGTTTGTATCTACCATTCAAATGGCACCAGCACTTACTATTTTCTTTTGTAATTATTTGTTTTCTGTTTTATTTCCCCGTGAAATCAAATTAACCCCACCGTGGGGTGTTAGATATGTCTTCTAACCTCCACAGTTCTTAACATGATGTCATCCACACAGTTAAGCATGTAATAATGATTTAATGTACATTTTGCACAAATACAATATTTAAAAAGTAAAAATAGAAAATCAAATTTCAAATACAAAAGTAAACTACATTCATCACTCCAAAATATCTTTTAAGGAGAATTGTTAAAACTAACCAAAAGAGCCAACTAAAGCCTGAATAAAAATTTGATGCTACTGTTTCATTAGTAATGAACAGCATTTACAAGAAAACTATACACTCCCCAGAATGTAAGTGTTCAGTCTTAGTCACTTATCTGCTCTTAAGACTTAAATAAATGTTCTTAGGAGGGAAAACCAGTTATCCAGTCCTCCCCGATTCCTTATTTGTCTCTTCCCACCACTATCCTCCACCAGACATATACACACATACACACACACATTCACACACACTCTAGCATGATATTGTCTATGTGGCAGAGCCTTAAAAAATGTTATTTCTTTCAGATATGGTCTACAAGTAGAAAAAATAATATTAATGAGCATTGTCAAAAGTTTTACAATATTTTGAGAAAATCACGCATAAACTGTTAAGCTGTATGTTCCATTGGAACCCAACTTTATGGTTGAGCATTGTTAAAACAAAACATAACTATAGACATCATTTTCTGGATGAATCTCGTTCAGAATTGCTGGTATTTCTGGCTCTTCTTTGGGTTTTTCTTTTGTTTCTGTAAAATCAAATAAAATCAAAAAATAGGTTCAATAAATTGTATTGGGACAATTGACTAACCATTTGGAGGGATAAAAACTGCTTCACAACATACACAACAACAAACCACAGATGGAGTAAATATTTAAATATTTAAATACCATAAAGTTATAGAAATAATAGTGTTTTTCATAATCTTAGGATTCTAAACAGAACACAGAGACCAGAAACTGTAACGGAAAAGACTAGCAGGTTTGAATATCTAAAAATTAAAATTATATATGGCAAAAACCACTATAAACAAAGTTAAACCAAATCAAAGACAACTGGAAAAATATTTGCAACATATACATAGTAAAAACTATTATTTAAAGAGATTTTTTAATCAGAAAAAGATAGAAATCAAAGATGTTGAATGGGACAAGGATTCAAATCCTTGTTAAAAAACTATTATTTAAAGAGATTTTTTAATCAGAAAAAGATTTAAATCAAAGATGTTGAATGGGACAAGGATTTTTAATCTAAAGAATTAAAGGATTTTTAATTCTTTAAAAATTATATTTATAATAATCCTGAAAAGATGTCTAGTAACATTAATTATAAAAGGGGGTGATTAAGACCATTAGGTGGGTTTTATTTTTTAACCTATCGCTTCTTGGCCTTTTGGCTAAGATCAAGTGTATTTTTTAACCTAGGTGACAGGCAAAGATTTTTTAAATGTCATAATGTACAGTGCTGACAAGGGTATGGGGAAAAGGCACCTGTCTTGTGTGAATCACTACCATGTTTCTGGAGGCTAGTCTGACTGTATATTCAAACTTTAAATGTTGGTACCCTTTGGCCCAACAATTCAATTTCTAGGGATTGATTCAAAGGAAATAATCAGACAAACTTAAGCCTCCAGTGCCTCCATTTCCTTATATTTAAAATGGGAGTATTATTTATCCAGTAGAGCTTTTGACATTGAATAAAATAAACCACATAAAATATTTAATATGGTGTCTGGCACATAGAAAAGTACCTGATAAGTGTTAACTAAATAAATGTTATTTCCAATGATGTTCATTGAACATTGTTGTAATAGTAAAACTTGGCAGTAAACTGAGTGTTCATCCTCATAGAGACTGGTTGAATAAATTATTGCACATACATATAGCATAGTACTGTGCAGTTGCTACAAAAGACATCATAAAGATGGCTCCAATACATATTGTAAATGAAACCAAAAACAAGTTACAGAATAGGATGGGTACTGTCTCATTTGTTGAAACAAAACAACCTTAACATTGGGAACTGGAGATAGAAGATGGTATTAAAGGGGACTTTTACTTGATATTCACTTACATATTGCTTTATTACAATGAACACTTATTACTTTTATAATCAGCAAAAATAGATATTGCCATTTATTTGGTCAAACAAAGCCAAAAATAAAATGAGCATTAATTAATTGACCATATCGATCTTGCTGGGTTTAGAATGAAGCAGTTAGGAATCAGGATGCTGTGTTGGTTAGAGCTGCTTCTCCAGCAGGGTACTCTGTCAGTGAACGTACTGCTTCACATGCCTGCTTTTTACTGCAATGTATTTCTTTAAAGTAGTTCTTCAAAACTGGTATTACTTGGAGACCAACTAGCCCCATGTTTTTGTTGCACTCATCTTTTAAGATAAAGAGCAAATAAACTACTGAAGGGGTTTCTTTAGAAATCAGTTTCCTGGGGATAACTATGGTCTGATAGACTCCAGTCCATTTCTTACACTGTCTACAGTATTGTATGAAGAGAACTGAAGTTCTCAGTTATGTCTCTGAGGCAAGTGAATTAAAGAACGGTTGGTTGCATTATTTTCAAATTGCTATACTTAGAAAAAAGTTTTTCAGGAACAAATCTTGAAATAGAAAGGGTTTCTGGTAAACTTGAAATCCTACGGGAATGAGTTCCCTAGTAACAGCTTTGTATTTTACAGCTTTGTAAAATATACAGCTGTATATTTTACAGCTTTGTATCTCCCTCAGTACTTTGTACTATGAATTTACCTGCCTTCCATTTATCAGGCAAATTAAATTTCCTAGAAAAGTTCATTCATCAAGCTTTCTTGTTAATGTAGACTTAATTGTTTTTTAAAATATTTTGCAATAATTCACCCTATACTGGGTTCATTTCACTGACTATAGCATCTCATAATGGATGAATAGTATAAGTACTACTGTACATGCTTACATTTTAATTTTTTAACTCTTTGAAATATGCCAGGACATACATTGGTTGCATGAACATATTGTTTACTTAAAACTAGTCAATGAAATTAATAGCATCCATTGACATAGCTGAGAATAACCCAGGATTGTCAGAGAAGGTTGTAAATCACTACTCTGGGGGAGATATACCTACCGTGGTGCTATAAACAGCCCTTACCTTGAGGAAAAGTATAAACATCTTTAGCATCTTCCTGGTGTGCTTTAGGATCCTGGCCTTGGGGCCCACCTGTTTCTTGGTATGGTTCTGGAAAGCATTCTTTAGGCACATCCTTATTTTTATATGTCTTAGTAGAGAGGTCTTCAGGCCCCGGGGTTTCTTGGTATATTTCAGGTGAATATTCTTCAAGCTGGGGTGTTTCTTGATATATTTCAGGTGAATATTCTTCAAGCCCAGGTATTTCTTGATACGTTTCAGGTGAATACTTTTCAGACCCGGGTGTTTCTTGGTTTATTTCAGTTGAATAGTCTTCAGAATGAGGTGTTTCTTGGATTGTTTTATGAGAGGGGGCTTTAGGCACAATAATTTCTTTACATGTTTTATGAGGAAGGTGTTTAGGTTCAACTAATTCTTGGTGTGTTTTTGTGGAAAGGTCTTTAGGCTCGGCTATTTCTTGTGTTTTAGGAAAAAAGCCTTCTGTCTCAGCTATTCCTTGATCTGTTTCATTGTATTCCTCTGGTTCTGCTGGGTTTTGGTCTGTGTCAAGAATATAGCCTTTAGGCACATCTGGTTTGGGGTACGCTTGAAGGGAGCATCCTGCCAGATCAGCTGTGTCTTCAGATGTTGGACAAGGAAGGACTTTGGGTACAGCAGCTTCTTGGCACATTTTAGGAGACAAATCTGGTTTAGCCATATCTTGGTACATTTTGAAAGGATGGTCTTGAATTACAGCTATTACTCGGCATGCATTAGGAGAGTTGTCTTCAGTTTCCACCACGTCTTGGCATATTTTGGAAGAATTGTCTTGAAGTACAGATATTTCTTGGTACATTTTAGGAGAGAGGTCTTCAGGTTCAGCCACATGTTGGCATGTTTCAGAAGAATGGTTTTGTACTGCTATTTCTTGGTACTTGGAAGAATTCTCCTGATGTATAATACTTTCTTCACATATTTCAGAAAAGTGTTCCTCAGGCACAACTTTTTGGGGGGAGGCTACTGAAGGAAATACTTTGGTTATGCTCCCTGGTGGCTCAGGTTTTTTCTCTGTAGGTGCCAGTACTTTCTCCACTATTTCCTTTTCTATCTGTGACTGAGGCTCCACCTTCAATTCTGTATTTTGTTGTCTCTTTCTGCCTCTTTGATTTCCTTTTCCTGTTCTCTGCTGCTTGCGTTTTTTCTGTTCTCTGCAGAAAGAACAGAATTCGTGTCAGCAATGGTGCTACAGAATTCAAATAAATGCTTGTAATAACAGTGCCAGGTCCCCTACTGCCTCATTGCACAAGGATCATGAACTCATCACTTAATCTCTCTGGGCCTCAATCTCCTTGTTTGTAAAATGAAGGAGCAGCTCTAGGTGTTCTCAATTCTTAGGAGAGGGAATGTTTCTCCAGGACTTCTTGGCATCGATACTTTGCTTACCAGGAGCCTTCCTGGTGAGGGTAGTGGATGTGCGCATGTGTATGCACGCGCGTTTGTGTATGTGTGTGTGTTATAGCATATTCTTAAAGTTTGGTTATGGAAAATAAATAATTCCCATTACAAATTAATAGAGTGGCATTCTGGTTTATACACTAGTCTCTTTGCATTTAGTCTATGTGTGTTACTTCCCTAAGCCTGAGTAAACTCACACAAACCGAGTTTCTAAACCTGCAATCCAGGCACGGCTCCTCATCTGTGCAGGCTGCAGGTGGAGGCTATATATTGCTTGATTATCAAATACATTGTTTTGTGTAAAGAATTCTAAGTTGCTACAGTATCTCTCAAATGAGATATATTGTAAGTGGGTCAAAGGCTGCAAAAACACTTCTTGAAGTTAAGAAGCCTGGTAGATGGGCATGAGTGGCCATATTATACTTAATCCTAATTAACAAATTAAAGATCTAGAAGATGAAAGGATATGCGTGGAAATTGCAGCCAGTGACAAATTGTTAGGCACTGCAAATATAACCAAATACAGATGGCTAATACAGATGGGCTGGGGGCTGGGGAAAGTACTATAAATAAGCATTTCATCATTTTTCTAAATCTACTGAAATTCTGTTTCATGCTACCCGCTCTATGGAGCCTTCTCTAACAGACTACAGGGCTAAAATGTTCTCCCAGCTTAGCTCTCCTATAGGACTTACTGTGAGTACCATGCTAAAGACTAGGAATGTAGGCTGCCTCATACTGTAGTTATTTCTTAAGAAACTGTATTTCTTTTAGTAAACATTTTAGACATTCTTTGGAGATGAAAACCAGTGTTTTTTTATATCTTTATAGTGCCCATTGTTCCTTGCATATTTTTTAAAAAGTATACCCTGTTCCACTTTTTTGTATATGTTTGAAATTTCCATTGTAAATAAGTGTTTTTAAAAGATTACCTCACCAAACACAGTTTGAAGTCAATATCAAAAAAGTAAATATGTTCACTTCTAATGAGGCTATAGAAAAAAAGAAAAAAAAATGGTACAGATGTAACAGAACAGTCTAAAATAATATTGAAAATTATATTTAAAAGAGGAAATCTAGGTCAGGCGTGGTGGCTCACGTCTGTAATCCCAGCACTTTGGGAGGCCAAGGTGGGTGGATCACGAGGTCAGGAGTTCAAGACCAGCCTGGCCAACATAGTGAAACCCCGTATCTACTAAAAATACAAAAATTAGCCAGGCGTGGTGATGCGCATCTGTAATCCCAGCTACTTGGGAGGCTGAGGAAAGAGAATCGCTTGAAACCAGGAGGTGGAGGTTGCAGTGAGCTGAGACTGTGCCACTGTGCTCCAGCCTGGGTGACAGAGCGAGACTCCATCTCAAAAACAAAAACAAAAAAGGCCGGGCACGGTGGCTCACGCCTGTAATCCCAGCACTTTGGGAGGCCAAGGTGGGCAGATCACGAGGTCACGAGATCAAGACCATCCTGGCTAACATGGTGAAACCCCGTCTCTACTAAAAATACAAAAAATTAGCCAGGCGTGGTGGCGGGCGCCTGTAGTCCCCGCTACTCAGGAGACTGAGGCAGGAGAATGGCGTGAACCTGGGAGGTGGAGCTTGCAGTGAGTCAAAATCGCACCATTGCACTCCAGCCTGGGTGACAGAGCAAGACTCCATCTCAAAAAATTGAAAAAATTAAAAAAAAAAAAAAGGAAATCTAAAGATGACGGTTATGGCACCTCAGCATTTTGAACTATTACTACAAGTAACCAAAGTGACAAGATAAATTATAAAATTCTTATAAATGTTTTGAAAAAGATTAATAGTATACCCAAATTCCTTAGGAAACACATATTTTTTCCTAGATATTAAATACGAAATAATTCATTATTTAGATATCTATGTGAGGAGATCTGAGTAATATAATAGTCCATGTCTTCCCTGGTAGTTTTTCAAAAGATACAAAAAATATCTATGTGGCCTAAACTTTAGTCTGTACTCTCTCATGATTGTAGGCAAGTCACTTAACCTCTACATGCCTTGGTTTCCTTGTAGGTGAAATAAGGTAAATAATATCTGCCCAATTTCATGTGGTGGTTATAAAAATTGTATATAATGACTTACATGAATTAATTATTTAAATATAAATTAGGACTCTAATATGAATATAAGAAACTCTTATAGTGCTTGTGTATGTCAGGCACTGTTTAAATAATTTAGTTGTTTTGTTATCTCATATAATCTTCACATCAGTCTATGAAGTAGATAGTATTATTTTCACTTTGCAAATGACAAAACTGAAGCACAGAGATGTTAAGTAACTTGCCCAACACTTGTATTTGATAATCAAGCCATATACATTATCCACCTGCAGGCTGCACAGATCAGCTGTGCCTGGATTGCAGGTCTAGAAACCCTGAGTATGAGTTTACTCAGGGGTAGTGAAGTAACACACACAGACTAAACGCAAAGAGACTAGTGTATAAACCAGAGTGCCAATCTATTAATTTATAATGAGAATTATTTCTTTTCCATGATATTTCCAAGGGTTCTGGCTACAAAGTAGGGGAACCAGGCTACAAATCTAGTCATTGTGGCTTTAACAGCCCGGCTCATAACCATGCGCTCTGCTGCCTCTCTCTGAAACTAATAAAATTGCACTGTATGATATGTTGTAGTGAGAAAAGAGGGTGCAGGCCTCAGCATTATAGAGATGTATCACCAGAGCAAGTCCAGCCAGCTGCCAAGAGGCTCACCAAGGTGTTATCCATTTGAGTGAATACCCTCAGCCCAGCAAGCCCAGAAACCTGACTCTGTTAGCACACTGAGACTACTTCCATTTATCAGGGGCAGAGCTCATCAAGCAGATTTAAGGAGACTTATATATAAACCTAAGGACCAATTTTTAAATGAACAGAAATACAAAGTCACGTAGTAGAAAATACCTGGGCTGGCCAGGCACAGTGACTCACGCCTGTAATCCCAGCACTTTGGGAGGCCAAAGTGGGCGAATCACTGAGGCCAGGAGTTCCAGACCAGCCTGGCCATCATGGTGAAACCCCAGCTCTACTAAAAATACAAAAACTAGCTGGGCGTGGTGGCCGGTGCCTGTAATCCCAGCTACTTAGGAGGCTGAGGCACGAGAATCACTTGAACCTGGGAGGCAGAGGTTGCAGTGAGCCGAGATCTCGCCACTGCACTCCAGCCTGGGCAGCAGAGTGAGACTCTGTCTCAAAACGAATGAATGAATGAACAAAAGAGAGAGAGAAAAGGAAAGGTGAGGGGAGGGGAGAGGAGAGGATGGGTGAGGGGTGGGGATGGGGAGAGGAGGGGGAGGGGATGGGGGCAGGGGAGGAGAGAGGAAGGGAGGGCAGGAGAGGAGAATACCTGGGCTCTGGGCTCGCAAACAAATGCACTGTCTCTGTAGGTAAGTACTTGGGAAGCCAAATAATGATTGGAAGATTGCTTAGTGGGTATGGAATTTGGGAGCTAATTGGATAATCCTCAATAGACCTGCCACAGGACCCTGGTACAAATATTTCTACTGTAAAATGATACACGTGTTCCTAAAAATCCTCACTTTCTGCAAAATCATCCTCTATAAAGTTACAGTGGTTATGGAGGTGGGGCAAATAGGCTTGGGACAAATGATTCAAAGCTTTTGCAACATTTTAACACTAACTAAAACAATAATTGATACCAGGAGAGAGAACTTGCCTGGTCCAGACAAGTAGTTTACTGTGGCTGGAGGCTGCCTCAGGGGATAGTAAATGCAAATATAGTGTAATTGCAGGCTTAAAGCTGCTGAGACCGGAGCTCTGAGCCAGCAGGGTTGCCATTAAGTTGGTCACAGGAGAGAAGTGCAAGCTGCCACTTGGTGGAGAGCTGCGCTAGGCTGGTGGTGTGCCTATCTGGGGAAGGAACCCTGCATGCCAGCTGAAAAGAATCCTGCCTGTACAACAGTCAAGCTGAAGGCTTTTTCTTTCCGACTGAAGGCTTTCTCTTCCCAATGTTCTGGCTTCTTTTAACTAGGAAAAAATCATGAACCAACACAACTCCCACATTATACTGACATCATTCTCCTATTTATCAATCGTATGTGAACTTGGTGTTATAGAAACATCTGTTGTAGCAGAACAGACAGTGCTCCATAGTGGGGTTTGGGGGTTTAGAAAATGCCTTTCCTTAGGAAAAGCGCTTTGCTTAAATTAGTGGTTCTCAACTGGGGGTAATTTTGCCTGTCTCCCCCCAACCCCACCCCAGAAGACATTTGACAATGTTTGGAGACATTTTGTTGTCACAGCTGGGGTAGAAGGTGCTATTGGCATCTAGAGGCCAGAAAATGCTACAAAACATCTGCAGTGCACAGGACAGCCCCTGACACAACAAGAAGTTCTCCTGCCCCCAGTGTCAGCAATGCCAAGGTGGAGACATTTTGGCTTAGATGGATGCCGCACTTTCGGCTCTTTGGGCTCCCCTTCCAAGCAAGCAAGTCCCCAGTTGTCACAATCATATTTGAAATGGATGCAATTAGATGCCGCCTAATTTACAGTCATGTTCTTGTACCCCCTTCCTGCATTTACATACAGGTGAACATACAGGTTATCAAAACCCTTTGTCACTCATTTACAGGGAATGTTTTGGCTCACTCCATGGACAGTTAATCACACTCATTCAGTAAATATTTAGCTAACAGAAAGCTTGGAGAACAATCTTGGAGGCTTCTTCAATGATGCTTCCAACTCCCAACAGGGTGCTTCTGTGTTTATATTACAATAGGAGCTAAATGCGAGGCTTCTCTACAATATAATTTGGTTGCTCAATGCTTTAATTAAAAGAGACCAGGGAAAAAATTCTGTTCCCACCATGTTACCAGCTGTGTATGTGACTTTCGGCAAGAGATTTAACTCACTGGAGGCTTAGTCTCTGTTTTTCTGTAAAACAGGGACAACCATGCCTGATTTGCAGGATTGTTGGAAAGATAAAACACAGTGTGTAAAGTGCACAGCACTACTTGATGCATAACATCCTCAATAAATATATCAGTTCCCTTTCTCTTGTGGTGCTACCATACCCAAATAGCCATTGTGACGTTTCCTTTTCTTGCACTTCAGCTTTTCTTTTTCTAAGTTGGTCTCTGTTTCTCAAACTCCAGGTTCCAATGACTTCTGTAATAAAATGAAAGTTATTAGAGAAAGTGATGAACCATGGTGTTTATCAGCAAAAGTCCTGTAGCCAAGTGGCAGAATCTCTATGCTAGGTTTTTCTCCTAGCTTTTTGAGGACAAGGACTGTATCTCATTTATCCTTGTATCTCCAGAGAAAGCCTGGAAGCAGACATTCAGCAAATGTTTTTAAATGAAAAGGTCAGAGACCTACCCATACATAGTATTTGTACGTAAGTGTGCTACCAACCTATCAATTTCTTCAAAATAATTTTATATATTGTACAAATAATGAAAAAAGCAGCCATATTTTGCTGTCTTTAACATGATAATGTGTTTTCCTTTTATTCTTCACTTCTATCCAGTGCTTATATTACACGAAGTTGTAAGAATAGCATAGCACAATTTTATCCTTTTATTAACCTAGCATTATATTAGAACTATTTTCCATGATGTAGTCTTCATAATGATAATTTTAATGACAGTATGATACATAGTCTGGTTGATGTACTCTCATTTACCCAGTCATTCCTCTTGGATTGAGCATTTAGGTTGTTGCTAGTTATCTTTGCCTTGTATATCAATTATAATAAGCATATTCATTGCATATAGCTTTTCTTTTGGATTTTTTCCTTAGAATGGTGTTTCTTCAAGTTCTTTGGAAAATTAAGAGTTTGATCAAAAAAGTTTCTGCTGCCATCTAAGGTTGGGCAAAATTAATGAGTCTTTGATGTAGAGCTTCCTAGAGCCTGTGAAGTGATACAAATCCACACTGGGACCTCTAAAGAATAGAGCATGTCCCTTGAACCATGGTTCCTCTTGTTCTTGGGATAAGGGTTATTTATACTGAAAAATTCTACCTTTATTTTTACGAACCTCCAATTAAAATGGACAGTTCCTTCAATTATGAATGTAGGTAACAAACCACAGTAGTTTTGGCAGTATATGACTTTTTTCAACTTTTATTTTAAGTTTAGGGGTAAATGTGCAGGATATGCAGGTTTGCTACATAGGTATACACGTGCCATGGTGGTTTGCTGCACAGATCATCCCATCACCTAGGTATTAAGCCCAGCATCCATTAGCTATTCTTCCTGATGCTCTCCCTCCCCCTCAGCATATGACTTTGTCCCTATAAAGAAATCACACATTTTTATATCACATTATACTTGTTGCAGATACCTTAAAATATTACCTACAGGCTATGATTTGACTTGATACTATTATTAGATCCATCACTGGATATTGTAATCTATAAATAATCATATATATTACTATATCACAATTTTTTATTTTGATGTTTGTATCTTAATATAATTATTTCCTTTGTAATCTTATATATTTAATTTTATGCCTTTAAAACTTTTCTTCAAAGAAGGAGTCTCTGGGTTCATCAGAATGCCAAAGAGAACCATGTAGCAAAAAAAAAAATTTTAAACAATGTCTTAGGGTATCTCAAGGACTAAGGTTCCACAAAACATTTTGAGAAATGCTGCTCCAGGATCGATCCAAGGACTGAGATTGGTGAGTCAAAAGAATAAGCAGTATTATAGTTCTCACCGCTTATTGCCAGATCTCTTTGCAAAAGTTAGATGAAATTTGTGCTACCATAGTTTTACCACAACCATCTAATGAAATTATTGGATGAAACTATTGGGTAGTTTCATTAGCTTTCATTTAAGTATATTTCCTTTTTTTTTTTTTTTTTTTTTTTTTTTTGGCCAGATCCATTGAAAAGAGAAAATTGTCATACCCTGAATTCTTTTCAACAGCCACCAGCTCTTAAGGTATTTTTCATTACCTGGAGAATGGTTCTCTTCTTGATGAGGATCAAGTGTCCGATGGTGCTTCAAATGAGATTGGTCCTTTCCCAAATCCATCTTGCTGCAATACCTTCCTGCTATTTTGGTCTGACTTCTACAAGCAGCCTAGATGCTTTTTTAAAATATCAAAAACAACTAACACTTAAAAAAAAAAAAACCACACACACAAGTTTGCCTGTCACTTGACTTCCCGCCTAAAAGTTTTATCTGGTTGGACCACAACTGCAGGCTAATTCCACTTTCTTTATCACACTGCACAGGTGTGAGTAGGGGAAATGGCTGGTGCTAGCAACCTCTAGTATAGCTTGCTATTTATACAGGGAAACTCTCTGGCCACAGCCTGGCATGGCACAACCTCCAGTCAGCACTCTTTTGGTTCTATCTGCCAGGAAGTGTCTGGATCCGATGTTCCTTTTTACAAATGGAAGTGGCCTAGTGTAGAAAGAACACAATCTAGGCTCCAACCAGCTCAGTGGCCCAGGGCAAGTCACCTCCCTTTTCTATGACTCTCTTTCTGCATTTGCAAAATGGGTAAATAATTCTTGCCTGCTTCATACAGTTCTTGTTAAAGTGAAAATAATGGATGTGAAAATTTTTAGAAAGTGTGATATATATTAATCTTACATGGTTTTCTGTATGTGGCTTTTTTCACCTTAATCTGTTGCAAAATAATGTACAGTTTTGCTGTATGCTGTTAGACTTAGACAAGAAATAGACATAAATAACCAAATTAGAAATTCACAGCAATTTTGTATGCCTTTTTGCTCACCGAATCATTCACACGTGACTCAAGATAACTAGTGAAATCCACTGTTACTCATGTAGGGGAAGGTGAAAGATTATTTCTTAATGAAAATATCACCACGTTATATCCCAGAAATTAAGTTGAAATCATCAAAGGAACCATCCTGCCTCCAAGCAGTCATACCATTTGTGAAGAAAAGGAGCCACAGACTACTATGGTTCAACTAAGGAAGAAACCCTGAGCACCTCTTGATAAAGGAAGCCAATCTGGGAGATGCAGAGTTAATATATGTGTTCTGGATTCAGATTGAATTGAAGTGAGTTTGAATTCCAGTATTGGCATTCCCTAATTCAGTGACCTGAGGCAAGTTAGATAGCCTTGGAGTCAATTTATCTATCTATAACATGGGGACAATATTGGTATCTACCTCATAAAGTTACTAGGATGATTAAGACCAGTAATCCATATGAGGCATTTTATGTGTGCCTAGCATATCGAACTTGGTCAATAAATGTTAGCTACCAATAAAAATACAATAACCAGATTTTGGTAAAGCAAGTCATAGTTTAAATGCACTAAAGAAAGAGAAAGTCTGAAGAGGATTCTTTATAAAGAAAGACCTTTGTAAAGTGAATAGATGCCCACTACTTCCATGGAGTCTTAAGACATTAGAACTGGAAGAGCCCAAAATCATCTAGTCCCTGCCTATTTTATATACAAAAACTGAGAACCAAGGAGGAGAGTTGCCTATACTCAGTATTTTATTACTTATTGCCAGCAGCATCTCTTACAGGTTAGGAGATGGGCCATCATTTTGTGTGCTTGATCTTTCCTTGGTATAAAAATGTGTGTATCATGTAAACATATTAGAGAAACAAGCTGTCAAACACACTAAAGGGTATCAAGAACGATATAACAAACACCCAAGTATCTGCCACTAAAACTTAACTTGGTTTTTAATTACTAAACCCTAATATTTAGCTTTACCTCTCTCAGTTCCCCAGTCTTTCTCTTAAGTAAATCTCTGTACCTAAAAATTCAGGTAACTTCAGGGAGCCCCTACTCAAAGTAATCCTGCACGGAACAGCAGACATTCTTTGTAATTTATCTCTTGAAAATTTGGATTTTCAGATATGGGGTTTAAAGAACTCAAACTAATTTTAAAAATTACGAAATAGTGTTTTTTGAAATATTGATTCCTTTATTTGATATGTTTTAATTCTTATTAGTTAGGTTGTTTCTTACATTAGGTTAGTTTAATAAAATAACATTATAGAATCCCTCTGGGACACCTCCAGTGGATGCAGAGGTACTTCTTGAATAAAATTATCCTTACTAAGAGCTTGTAACACCCAGTTCAACAATTCAGCAAATTTTACTTAATGCCCCCTCTTGTGCTACATACTGAGTAAGGCTGTGAGGCTATAGAGATGGATGGTGCAGTCCCTGAGCCCTGTGCCCTGTAGGCTCATAGAGGAGAAAGTGTGTACATCTGTATTGCAAGGAAATAATACTCTTTATGTCCTGTTGCAACCTACCTAAGTCAATTCCACCCCTGTACTTTGTTCCCTGTATCTAGAAGCAGAGTGTGGAGGGTCTGTAAGAGGGTGGGGTTTCAAGTTAACAGTAAATTGAAGGTAATATTGGGTGGAGGAGGCCAGTGGAGAGATACTTTGGAGCAAACTAGATTGGAAGTCAGGCAAGGTGTCTCTGGCATGATAAACAGGCCAGAGCGGGAATTTGAGACAGAAATAGCCTACAGTAAGTTTACAAACCATAGTTCATGGACCCTTCTCTCTGTAGAAAATTCTAATTAGAAATTTAGTTAGAATTCTCTAACTAGAATTTCCAGAATGTGTGTTAAGCATTAAAGTCCACGTGTTTTTTGACAAATGCTGACTTGTTCTAGAGTTATTTGCATATATATATAAACCTCTCTCTAGGCCACAAACCCTTAGAGAGCAGATACAGCTTCTGATTCACTTTTCTGTCTCCACAGTATGAGCTGGTGGGAGGCTTGGCTCACTATAGTCCCCATAATCGCCCTCACTCCCTGCTTCATGAACATGCAGCCTGGGACGGTACTTTATACACTCAGGGCTTGAGGCTGCTGTGACTTAATAATAGCAATATCATCATCTGTGCCAGAGCTCTTTCTCCTGTCATTCATTCTGTGCCCAGCACTGTCCTATGGGCTAGAGATAGAATAATTGAACAACAAAGTGCCTGCCTTTATGAAGCCTACATTTTAATGGGGAGAGATAAACAATAAGGAAACAAATAAAATATATAATGTATCAGATGGTGATGATTGCTTTGGAGAAAACTGAGCTGGGCATAATAAGATAAGGAAAAGGAGGTTGATGGTGGCTGCTATTTTAAATAGTGTGGTCAGAGAAGGCTCAACTGATAGGGTGACAGGTGAACACAACTGAAGGAGGTGAGGGGCCAGACATGGCATGCTGATATCTGTGAGGGCATTCCAGGTATAGGGGCACCAGCAAATGGCCCAAGGAGGGGAGTGTTAAGGAGGTGGGATCGGAGAGAAAGCCTATTATTCCCCCTTGTAGGATTTCTACTCTGAGTGAGATGGATAGTCATGGCATGGTTTTGGACAGAGGAGTGATACGATCTGACTTATATGTTTAAAGAATTATTCTGGCTACTGTGTGGGACAGGGGCAGAGGAAGCAAGAACAATCAGAATGGTATTGCAGTGATCCAGATGCGAGATGATTAAGGTTTGGATGATGGCAGTGGTGAAGCCATGGTCAGATTCTGGATTAACTTATAAGTTGTATATGGGGTGAGACATAAAGAATCAAGATAAAGATTTGTTGTGAACAACTGGAAGGATGGAGTTAGCGTTCACAGGTGAGGAAGATTGGGAGAAGCAGGCTTGGAGGAGATGATCAAGAGTATCATTTTGGATGTGCTAACAGGTTAGGGAGAAAACAGCAAAGGAGCAGCCGGTGAGACAGAGGAAAACTGGAAAAATATAGTGTCTTGGAAGCCAAGAGGAAAGACTGTTTCAAGGAGGAGAGACTAATCCACTGTGTCAAACTTTGCTAAAGTAGAGGAAGGATTGAGAATTGTCCTAACAACTGATTTCCTAACAATTCAATTCGTTTCAATTAATTATAGATTATGGAGGTGAAGTAACTTGGCCAAGGGCATGCAGGTAAAACCAGCTATATAATGTTTGGGGGGCCCAGTGCAAAATGAAAACACAGGGCTTCTCCTTCAAAAATTGTTAAGAATTTCAAGATGGCTGTAACAGAAAATTAAACCCAGCAAGTGTTTCACTGGATCCTTGAAGCAGACTTATAACATAGCTATTATTGTCCTCATTTTTTCTGATGAAGAAAGTGATGCTCAGTGCATTGAGTGACATAACTAAGATCACAGAGGGAGACTGGTAGTTTGCACCAGAAGCTGGGCCTTCAGCCTCCAATTCCCTCTAATTCTTTCTTTTTTCTTTTTCTTTTTTTTTTTTTTTGAAATGGGGTCTCACTGTGTTGCCCAGGCTGGAGTGCAGTGGCACAATCACAGTTCACTGCAGGTTCTACCTCCCTGGGCTCAGGTGATCCTCCCACCTCAGTCTCCTGAGTAGCTGGGACTACAGGCATACACCACCATGCCTGGCTAATTTTTTGTATTTTTTTGTAGAGATAGGGTTTTGACACATTGCCCAGGCTGGTCTCGAACTCCTGGGCTCAAGCAATACCCCTGCCTTTGCCTGCCAAAGTGCTAGGATTATAGGTGTGAAGCTACCAAGCCCGGCCTGGCCCTCTTCCTGCTACAACAAACTAGGTATTGAGGGAGAGAGTTGCTTTCCTGCCTCCTGACCGTCTGGAGCAGGTGTAAGTATCGAGAACTTGGTCATGCATTTCAGAGGCCTGACTGAACTGGGCAAATGTAGGAGGGAAGGAAACACATTGCTGAAACTTCTGCCCTAGGGCCCTTTAAGATGGGCGTGAAAAGGGAGCACAGGAAAAACTAGCTCAGGCCATGTACTGGATGCTGTTTAGTCAAAAACAAGACAGGGTGAAAGTGCCCCAAAGTTAACACCATTTTAGACTATATTGATAAAAATTATAGAGTCTCCAAAACCAGAGAGATGAGAGTCCTGGTACACCTTGGTTTGCCATGCCATAGCCAGAGAGCCATACTGTGAAGACCATATTACTTGAAAGCATACACTGAAAAGAATGAGGGGTACAAGGCTCTATCATTTTCCTGGCTGGGTAATTTGGGGAAAATCACTTAATTCTTTCTGATCCTCAGTTTTTTCCCTTGTAAAATAGAGAAAGGTAATACCTCATGGGGATTCTGTGAGGATAAAAGAGATCATGAGAGCTTTTTATGAAATGAAAAACACTGCAGATATAAGTCCCATCAACCTGGATGGTGTTAATAGTGATATTAGAGTGTTCTAATCATGCACCTGGACAATTTTCTAAAATATTTAGGTGGAAACGTCGTGGAAGGGAAGACAATGGACATTTGTTTTTCTTAGCATTCCTTCCTTGCTGACATACTTTTTCAAAGCTTTTAAATACTTTTCAAAGA